GCACTAAGCAGACGAATTATTTAGGCTGTGCTCTTTGAGTGTCTTGATAATCGAGCCGTGTTCTCTTAGTGTCTTATTAATAGAGTCTACCGGAAATGGACAAGCGCACGGGGTACATTATTAGTGAACGCATGGTTGCAAGGTGTGGACTGGAAATAATTTTTCACCGTCGTTCATACGTCGTGGTCTTAAATTGTGATAGATATGAATGTATATTTTGTGAACTTTGTGAATTTGTGAACTCTCTATTATGTACCATTAATCTGAGAATATAGAACAGTATATATTTTATCTATGTGTTGTGAATGACGCGTTCAAAACCTCTCCACGCTCCCCCAACCTACAACATCAACAATACCACTTTGACAGAAGAAGATTTGGAAGGATTTTGGAAGGTTGGGACCAGAGGGTTCAGTAGCGAGATACAACTGCTTCTGAACTCTCTTGTACCTGGTCTTCAGAATCCAAAAACAACAAACAAAGTGTTACCATGAGAAGAAGACTTTTCGAAATAAATGGTAGGTAGGTAGGTAGGAAGGAAGGTAGGTATGTAGGTAGGTAGGTAAGAAGGTAGGTAGGTAGGTAGGTAGGAAAGTAGGAAGTTTTCAAGCATTTGGGGAAGAACAAAGTGGGTTGAAAATAGTGAAATAGATCCACTATTTTTCAATCCACTTTGTACTTTTTTGGATGCAAGAACAACACTTGACTTTTTCAGCTACATCAACAAGACCACTTTAACAGAAGAAGATTAGGAAGGATTTTGGAAGATTGGGTCCATAGGGGTTAATAGAGATACAACTGCTATTAATCCTTATGCACTCATTCTTCAAAATCTAAAAACAACAAACAAAGTGTTACCATGAGAAGAAGACTTTCCGAAATAAATGGTAAGAAGGTAGGTAGGTAGGTAGGTAGGTAGGTAGGAAGGAAGATAGGTAGGTAGGTAGGAAAGTAGGAAGTTTTCAAGCATTTGGGGGAAGAAGAAGGTGGGTTGAAAAAAGCCCTGGTAAATGAGGAGAGGAATAAAGGGTAAATCTTCCCTATAAGTGGCATTCATGTTGCAAAAAGACCCCATTCCTTCATTCAAAATAGGCCTAATTCAAGAACTGAGTAACATTGAAGGACGTATGTCTGGAAAACCCGAATTTGTTAAAATTTTTGCCCCAGCTACCTAAACTAGCTTTAGGAAAGCACTTTGTAGTCATTTGCAGAATCTGCTTTTCTGGCCCCGAACGTAAATTTGATATGCCTAACTGCATGCAAAAATTCAGATTTCCAAAACAAGTAGAAATGGGTGTTTGTTCGTAAGAGTTGGACTTAGACATTCAGGAAAATAGACATAGTTCTAACAACCAGGGAAGGTTTTTAGGACAAACATGATTTTTTGGACACCATTTGCAATAAAAAAAAAACTGTTTTTGATTTATTTCTCAGCCAAAAATCAACTTAGAAATGCGACAATTGCACTCTCACTTGCATTTTAACGAGCCCCATCATCTAATAACAAGTTTTCTCTGAAATTTGGAAATTTGAGCGATTTGACCTCGATTGAGTTATTGAGTAAATTTGGAGAGTTCTAACACTTTCAAAGCACTAGGGCTGCTAGGAAAAACATAGAAATCTGCTGATTTTTTAGGTGCAGTTGGACATGATGGAAACGAGTTAGCTGTTAAAAATTCATTAGAAAAACTTGAAAAATGACTGAAAAATCAACTTGTCAAGTTTTTTTTTATGAAACAAAGGTATTTTGGACAAAAAGGTATTTCAGGACATTGTTTGCCATATTATATGAAGGTTATAATAAATAAGTGTTCAAAAAACCTCCCCCAGTTATTAGAACTATGAGGGTCCAATAAACCTTCCCCAGTCGTTAGAACTACGTGATTTTCTCTACATTTTGACCAAGTCCGAAGAATTGAAATTTGACAGGCAGGTAGCTCTACCATCTGGCTGACCGTCCGTGATGTTAGACTGAGATTACGCGGAGCTTAGGCAGCATGCTACATTGAATTTTCCACTTTCTAAGCTTACATCTCGGCAAATAAAGCTTCGATTGAGATGCGGTTATTTTTGCTATTGACGGGAACCATTTGTCTATCACTCTACCAAGTTTCAATCGGATCGCTTCAGTAGTTTATTCCCCACAAATCATGCACAATTTCGACTTTTACTTTTAGAAAAAAAAACACACCACATTTCAAACTTTTTATTCATAATTATTTATATAATGATACAACAATAAATGTCTTCTTCTTCTTCACCTTCTCCCACTCTCTCTTTCTCAACGTCGTCAATCCAAGTCTGAAT